GGGGTCCCTGCGGACCTTGGGAGAGCGCCGGTTCGGGGTGAGTCCGCACGTCTGCCAGACGAGCTAGGACCTCCGGGGATAGAGCTTCCTGACGAAGCGTCCGGGTCTCGGGGAGACCGCCTCAGAGGCGAAGCTCGAGTTGAGCTCGCGGTCTCACGGTGTGTCGCGTGTGATGTCGAGGGTTCCGTCATGGTAGGTGCCTAACACACAATACAATCTAGAAACCCACGTATTCGTGGTATGAAGTGTAAAAAAGTGTAATGATACGGGTGTCGCCTGATTCACACAAGTCCAAAGTACACTGAACCAATCTCTAGATTGAGAGGGCGTATACTATGGTGGACGTGGTGAAAGGCTGAGAAGCCTTCGCCACGTCGCGCGGATCCAGATGGATCAGCGCCGATCACCATGACGATCCAGATTTAGATACAAGATGTAGATTAACTATGTAGATAAGATAAGATAATGAACGATCCGTTACATCCACTGACCTCGCGACGCAGTCGCACACGGGTTTTCCAGCGCTCGAGCGACTCACATGCGCACCAGGACTAGACGATTGCCTACATCCGAGTCGGGATCACGACGAGCACCAAACTCTGACGCACCAGGAGCGCGTGCTGAACGAGCGGGAGTGTCGATCAGGAATGATGAAAATCATGAATGGTGCCGGCTCGACAGAGGTTCATACTCGTGCGACGGGCTCAACGCGTCGCTGGAAGAGGCACACGGGAACGTCAGTGAGAACAGGCAGTCAGCGACAAGGGGGACAAGATCTTCTGGCACGTCGTCTGAGCTGTCAACCGTGCTTGGGAGCGTAGTGTTTGTGAGACCAATGCTGCCACGTGTTACAGGGTCCCTGTATGATTCGCTTCCACGTCAAGTATGACCGTTAGTCGATGTTCTCCGGGTGATTCGAGTATATATTAAGGCATACCACAACACGAAGACATGAAACTCTGCTAGTGGGTTCGGACTTGGGGAGACAGCTTACAGGCAAGTATACGTGGAGAACATGTGTCCTCGTGAGTAGCTGAGCTAGTGGAAAACTACGCGGAAGTTTGAGGCCTATAATGAGGCCTATAACACTTTGCCCACTCGGTTCCAGAGAAAGCATTCGGGAATTTGATGGTGATTGACTCACGCCCCATAACCTTGACCATCCCTCGCCACAATAGACAGTCACGATACTCGTCCGGCACCCACATCACGTGATTACCGTTCTTGTCCGTGATCCAGCCATTCCAATATGGGTACTCTGGAGGAGTCGACGACTGGAAGGAGCCATCAAATGAGGTCCTTGACATAGTGTTGTAGTTGACGAAGGGTGGATGAGGTCCGCAAGGATCTTGAAGAAGTGCTGATTGTTAAGCATACAAATAAGAAGAGAGCAGACGCTACTTGCCTGTGAAAGCGTTCGCATCCCAAACCACAATGATCGTGTTTGAACGTGATACGATGTGACGACCATCTGGAGAGAGTGCGAGAGAGTGAACGCTTCCGAATGGATTGGACAGGTTCTCCCCAACAGGCTCGCGCGTCTCTGTGTCCCACATCCAGATAGTCCCAAGATTCACCATGTCAGGGGACACAACCCGGCGGTAACGCGGCCAAAACATCGCAGTGAACGCCCTGCTCATGCTGGTGTATATAGGATTGCCTGATGGCCCCCATGTCTCCAGATCCCAGAATCGGATTGTGCCCCCGTCGGTGGATGACATTAAATACCGGCCGTCCATGGACCATGACACACACCGGATCCAGCCTTCGCGGCCCCTGAATGGCTCACCAACAGCCTGCCCCGTCTCAGCATCCCACACGCGCACCGTCCCATCCCACGAGCCGGATGCGATGCGCGTACCATCCGGTGACCAAGCGACGGAGTCGACCTTATTCTCATGCCCGCACAAAGGCCCGACGAGACACTCGTATGTCTCAGCATCCCATATGCGAATAGTGCGGTCCCCCGAACATGAGACAATCCGGCGGCCATCTGGGGAGTAATGAGCGTCCCGTACCCAGTCCCTGTGGCCACGTAAACGTTTTCCGAGCGGTTGGAGTGTAGTCGAGTCCCATACACGAGGGGTCTTACTTGCCGAGACGACAATCAAGCGACGGCCATCCGGAGAGAACCTGACGCAAACTATGTCCTTGGAACTTTGACCCTTCAGAGCCACGCCGATGGAGTTGCCAGTGTCCGCATCCCACATCTCGATCACGCCGTCATCAGACCCCGAGACGATACGGCGTCCGTCTGGCGAGTACGCGAGTAAGGGCCCAAAGCGCAAATCCAATATTCGGGCGGGCTTGTATTTTGACGGATAACTGAAAGAGGCATCGCGAGTGCTCTCCACACTTGCGCCCTCCTCTGCAGACCATATCCGTATTGTCGCATCGGATGAGCCGGATACGATGTGGCGACCGTCAGGTGAAAAGCTGACAGCACATACTGTGCTGCTGTGCCCAACAAGTGGCCCCCCGCCAATCCCGTATGTCTCCAAGTCCCATATGAGGATGCCACCATTCCCACAGCCAGAGACAATGCGCTTGCCGTCAGGAGAGAGTGAGAGAGACAATACGCCATCCAGAAGGGGGTGGGATATTGTCCTGATGGTCTGTTGGGTCCCGAAGTCCCATATCCGGATCGTCGAGTCTGATGATCCGGAGACAATCTGAAGGCCGTCCAGCGAGAAAAGCACAGAATTCACCCTGCTTGTATGGCCTTTGAAGGGCTTCCCCACAGCCTTTCCTTCTACGGCGTCCCAAACCCGCACCGTCCGATCGTCTAAACCCGACGCGATATGTCCACTACTCGGAGAGAAGGCGATGCAGGCAACGCCCGAATCGCCACAGAATAGCTGATTGATGATCCCGAGTGTGTCCACCGAGCGAATGCAGATATGACCGAAGCCATCGCCAGATACAATGCGCCGTCCGTCTGGAGAGTATGCAACACACAACACGCCCCACTGATGGCCCTGCAGAGGTTCACAGACAGCCTCCCCTGTCGTCGAATCCCATATCCGCACTGTCCAATCATTGAGCGCTGCGGCAATGTGACGGCCATCGGGTGAGAAAGCAACCCCGCAGACCCAGTCGTCGCAAGACAGCTCATGGATTACTTCGCCCGTCTCGGCATCCCATACTCGCACTGTCCCATCAGCCGATCCTGACACGATGTACCGACCGTCGAGGGAGTATGCCACGGAACCAACGATATTTGTGTGCCTCGAGAGGACAGCCTGGTCCTGTGGCCAACGGTCACGAATGCCGTCGACATGCGGAAGAGAGGGGAAATGTGGGAGATAATTGGTCCGGACCTTGGACAACGTCGGAGAGAAAGGCAGAGCTGAGATGTAGACGTGAGGAGCGGCTTGGGCTATTACACCAGCGAACCGGCGAATGAAGGATATCGCATCGCGCAATAGCTCCCTTAATGAGTCGCTTGCGGTGTTCTACGGCAGACGCGAGTCAGATCAGAATACAAATGTGTCAATTACAACAAGCGGGCTCACTTCATAGCCCTTGAGTGCTTCCAGTGAAGGGGCGGCGCGATTGACGCACTTGAGGAGGCTCAGCAATTCGAACCAGAAGAGGAGCTTCTCTCGCAGAAACCTGATTACGTCTTGCTGCAGATCGGGGGGATGCGTGGCAGCGAGGTGATCCTTCCAGCTGCATGACGCGTACGACAGGCTTTGTGAAACGAAGGTAATTAGCCGTGATTCCAGATCGGGAATTTCACGGTTGAGGACGTAGGACGTGTCCAAGTGGCAGATGTTGAACGACAGTCTTTCGTTCATGATACGGAAGCAACAGAGCGCCATGGTGGAATGTCCCGCCGACAAGTCGACGAACCACTCCCGGCTTCTAGCCTTGTCAGTGAGGAAGTCGCGGAACGATGTGTGAAGAGGACGGATAGGCGATGTACGGGAGGATACCCCGGAGAGTAGCGGACCCATGTACTGCACGACAAGGGTAACCTCGTCTCTCTTCCCGCCGGTCGCGAGACGACGCAGTTCATCCAGCGAATCCATCGATAGCGGAGAGGAAGCGCAAAGGATCTGTGCCATGACAGAACGGAAACGCTCTGATAGAACTGGCTCGTCCAACTGGAAATGCTGCTCCAGGATACTTCGGTATAGGTCGTCGAGGGAGAAAGCACCTCCGCCCAATACAGCGCCCAGACGCAAGTTGAGTCGTTCCTGCAATGTCAGACCAGCCGGGCTTCCAAGAACAACCCTGCAGGCCGTTGCAGCCCACTGGAACAGACCTTCCGCCTTAGTGACCAGCAGCCGGAAGTCCGCATCGTCCAGTGCTTCCTCAGATAGTGTATCATCTGAAGCGAGCTCGTGATGGAGGTATCGCTCGATGTCCGATGTCGCTTCTTCCTTGCTGTCGTCGAGGCTGATATGGTTGATGTGCCGATGACCGTCCTCAGAGCGGCCCACGACACGCATGACATCGTGCTCAGGACGGGATGTGATGAGGATTCGGAAGTTGGAAGGAAGCTCGCTAGAACCCTCGGTGAGAAGCTTCAGCAGCAGACGGCGTTCGGGAGTGCTAGCAGAGCTACTTTCATCGAACGCGTCGATGACGACCACCACCGGCCCAACCAATCCAACCTTCTTGAGTGGCTCGGCTATAAGCCTCTTCCACTGCTTCGTGATGTCAACTGATCCTACAAGAGCGCCATGATCATGGAGGACGTCCGCGAGCGCATGTCGGAAGGTGGGGTCCCAGTTCGCCAGGTCGTGCGCAATCGTGCTGAACACGTATTTCGGCGGACGCTCCGCCTGGAACGTGCGATTGAAGGAGAAGAACGCGCCTAGGCGACGACGAGCCTCCAAGTGCACGCCAATGGAATGGGCGATGGAAGATTTGCCGGTCCCAGCACCGCCGAGGAGGAAGAGAACTCGGGGGGCATCGGGATTGGGGTTGTTGATCCAATCTCGGAGCGCGCCCAACGTCTTCACGCGCGTGCCCTCGAGACAAGCTCTGCCTGAATCCAGCCCTGCGCCCCGGACGTGGGTCAGATTGTCGATTTTGCCTGAAACCGTCGGTGAGAAAGAGGATAGATATAAGGCGACTAGAGCTTACTAGAATCTGCAAGGTTCGCCACCCGGATCTCAGTCTCGAGCACTCCTACTTCGGTGAAAGACCGGCGGAGGTCCACGAAAGCCTCGGTGAACTCGCGTACTTTCTCGTCCACACGTGAACCCGTTATCACATTGCTTCCCGTTCGAATCCCTACAGTGCAACCTCAATATGCGTCATGGCAAGACTTCGGCGAGACTTCCTCACAGAAATTGGTAAATCGAGCCTCGTCCTGGATGAACTTGGCGCATTCCTCTGTTTTCGAGGACATATCCTTGAGCAGCTTCTTGCGATATTCGTCCAGGTCGGACAGGCGGCCGGTCTTGTTCACGAGGCCATAGAGCTCGTACATCGCCTCGAGAAGATCGGCCATGGCGTTGTCACGTTTGTCTTGGTCGATTACAGGCTGAGAAGGGGTGGTTTAGACTGGGAGCATAGATCAATCATACGTGGAAAACACCGTACCTTCACGACCGAAAGGAGAACCCTGGATGCTATCTTGGCGTAGGGATGGAGCTATACATCATCTTCAGCACCGCCGAAACTCGCTAGACGGTATTGACTGACTCACGTCTCCTATGGCCTCGATGAGCGATGCAAAACTCTCTACATTTTCCAACACGGGCTTCCACAGCTCGTACGCGCTTTCGACATCTTCTCCCGTCGGCTCGATGGCTGTCGCCCCTATAGTTACGATTCTGTGGTCTGAGCTGAGGGAGGTCAATGCTGTGCTGCCAGTGTCGATGGCTGTCGCTATCTTGGCCACATCCTCAGCACGGACTGTTTCAGGCGCTGCATCCTGGGTCTCCTCAAATGAGATGTCCTAATCGGCGTCAGGGAGAGGCAATCAATCGATCGAAGAGGGTTTCCTACCTTCCTCAAACCCTCAGCAGCACAATTCTCCGGTTCAACGATATCGGGAGGTCCCGGAATGGTGGACACGGCTTCGGCATCGTTCGAAGACCGCCTGAAGCATCGTTTGAGCCGTTTCCCCAATCTCGACTTGAATTTGCACATGATCGTTTGAGAATGTAGTCTGAGGAGGTATTGGAGTGCGCGGATGTACTGTGCAGAGTTAGCCTGGCAGAAGACAGAAAGCCAGCGGACACAATGGGCGAGTCCACGAGGCTGAGATGGAGAGCGCGTCTCTGAACACTCCTCAGACGGATAAAAGCGGAATATCGCGATTCGTTGGAGACATCCTGATAACATACAGTGATAATCGTAAGGTCCACTTCAAAGTCGGAACGGAGCGGCAAGAATGTGGTGGGCCACGAGCCGGTCCAGTCCAGTCCCAGCTTGGGCAAAATATTCCCAATCCGAGCTGTCCGAGACAGAAAGACGGGCGAGACATTCCATTCCAGGCATCAAGCCCAACGACGGAATTCTGGAGAACGGGTTCGTGCTGGACATGAGGCCCATCAAGTCAGGTTCTCAGGCTGTGAATTGAAAGGAAACATCAAGCACTGTGCGTGAGAGCAGCAAGAACATCTGACCTCCATGATATTAAATGCTCAACGTGCCCGTCCCTGGAATGAGCCTGGTGGGTCGGAAGGGCGATATGGAGAAGAAGGTGCACAAGGCCTGCAGCGTGGAAACACGACGAGTCGATCTGTTAGACGCTCATTCGGGGACGCTGATCCAAACGCGATAGCGCGCATCCCCAACTCGACGCCTCTGCCAATCCTCGACTGCCGCTGCTCTCTTCCATAGCTGTTCTCCTCCAAATGCGCTTTCCCACATTTCCCGCTCTAGCCTGCGCGAATGAGACGTTGATAGATACCGCCCTTCTAGTGACATCAATCCTTTCTAGGATTTCCCCTTCGCCGATTGGCTTCCCCTGTGTGTGGGCATTATGGACGACCTTGCGAACGGATTATCGAGGGTTTCATACCGGCCGCCAAGTCATTACCGGATCTCGCGTTCTTCATGACGACTCTCCGACGAATACCATAACCGCGACATGCGGGAGGAGGACGAGAGGGGCCAAGGTCGGGACGAGGACAGGGCACGAGCCTCTCTGGGCAGTTCCGCTTGACCCGTGAAGAGCCGTCGAAGCTATCTACCGACGTCTTCCCTTCCTTCAACTCCTGCACTCCTCAAACGCCCGCTTCTGACTCCATGTCTCCCTCGAACGTTTTGAGGCTCATCGGCTTAATCCTTCCAGTGCGAGCACACCCTCACTCACTCTTCCCTCTCCTCCTCTCCTTTGTATGCACCTTTCTGTCATGCAACATCGCGCTTGCAGACCTGACGGAGCCCCACAATCGCCATGCGTGACCTACTCCGACGTACATCAGATGATCCTCCTAAGCAGATAATCTCGCCTCGCTGAATGGCTTCCTTTCCATGAGGAACAGCTGGTCCGGAGCGCAGCACTTCAGGAGCTGACGGTCTTGACTGGGAGGACCTTCCAGCTCCGTGCCTGCGTCACGGAGGAGCTCGCTACGAACTTGCGCAGGGACATGCGTTCTGGACAGGGAGACAATTACGGCTGTTGGAAGGGAGGGAGATTGTGCAGCACCCGACGTCGGTGTTACTCGCGTTGTAAGCATGGGCGGGTGTCCTGGCGAAGTAGGTCGACGGGTTACTGATAATATCTGGTCGCATGTGATGTGAAGGTGAGCTGCTTTCTCAGGCGTTGACTATATGCGTTGCGCGTGCTCATGCATCTGGCCGCAAGCTCAACGCATGGCCTCCGACTAAAACACCCTCAGATGCGAGTACCCCTCTATCTTTCCTCTCCGACACAATCCGGCCCTCCCCCTTCAAATCCCTTTCCCCTCGCCCATCGCATCCGTGTCGTCGCATCCTCATTCTCACATCCTCATCCGCTTCCCTGCCTCGCAGAAGTGAACCTCCCATCATTCCTCGTGATCGTCGCGCTCACGGGTGGTACCTCCACCCGTGCCCTACGGCTGTGCGTTGTTGAGGATGTGCGCGGGGGTGGATGGCAGTTTGAACGCGGTCAAGGAGGAGGTGCTCAATTTGTTGTTTTATGTTGGGTGGTATCGACCCTCTGCCGGATTCAGCGTATCGAACGCAGAGCGTGAGCGGCTGGCGTCCGGGCTCTACCCTGGCGCCGAATCCTGCTGGAGATCACCATCGAGGGAATTGAGGCGAATGGGTATCAATGCGCGTTCGCCGTGATAAACCAGCACGATGATCCAAGACTTGTTGACTTCACAATGTAAATCGGTGCTCAGTCGAACACGTGCTTTCGGGGCTGAGCTTGAGCCTGTAGCCACGTCATGATGACTTTAGTATGATATTACAAAGAAACCTCCTATATAATCACTGGCATTTTGCCCATTGTGTTCCATGACATGCAGTTGCGAAGTCTATGGAAAGCGGCTCACGTCCGATGAGCAACAGCAGCCCTGGCCACCACAGAGAAGGGCGATACTCGTCTGGCACCCACAACACCAAATTGTTGTCCTCATCGACAACCCAACCGTTTACCATCTTGAACTTGGTACTGTCCGGGAGTGCAAGAGCACCTTCCGAAACATTGCACGCTGGCCTGAATTTTATAACGGAATACCGTTGGGCCACCGAAGGATCTTAGCAGAGGAATGCGATCAGCTCACAGATAACATGTGCATGCAAGCCACTTGCCTGTGATAGCGTCCGAGTCCCGTACCCGGATGGTCGACTCGTCTGAGCTCGATGCGATATGGCGACCATCCGGAGAGAGCGACGGTCTGTATGAATCCTGTGGGATCAAACAAGCTCTCCCCAACAGACTGTCGCGTTCGACAGTCCCACATTCTGATCGTGGCGTCTATAGCCCCTGAGATCATCCGGCGGTAGTCGGGAGTATGCATTAAAGCATACACAGCACCTGTGTGGCCACGGAAAGGCTCGCCTTCCGGTGCCTGTCTCTCTACGTCCCAGACTCTGAGCAGGTTATCCATGTCAGCAGAGGAGATGATGTAGCGGCCGTCCTCAGACCAGCAAACAGCCCCCACAATGCCTGAATGGCCGCGGAATGGCTTGCCCACGGCACGCCCAGTATCGGCCTCCCACACACGCACAGTCTGACCGTATGAGCCCGATGCGATGAACTTGCAATCAGGGGAATACGCGACAGAGAAGACGCCTCCCCTGTGGCCGACAAAAGGCTCAATGAGGGGTTCGTATGTCTGCGCATCCCATACGCGGATAGTGAAGTCTTCCGAGCTTGAGACGAACCAGCGACCATCCGGAGAGTACTTGATCGCCCATACGGCCTTTGTGTGTCCGCGCAGGGGCTCTCCGACCTCCAGGAGCGTCTCTGAGTCCCAGACTCGGATGGTGGTATCGAAAGAGCCGGACAAAAAGTGAGCGCCATCCAGGGAATATGTGACGCAATACACGGCACCCGAGTGACCGCGGAGAGGATTGCCAATGGGCTCTCCGGTGTCGGCACGCCACACCCGGATTGTCGTATCCAACGAGCCCGATGCGAACCGCTGTCCGTCGGGTGAGTATGCAAGGGAGCGTACGGTGCCCGTATGAGCAGAATCAGTTCGGATGTTATCGGAAGCCTTAACGGCCATTGTGCGTGCATCCGCTGCAGACCAGATTCTGATTGTTGCATCGCCCAAGCCTGGCACGGTATGACGGCCGTCAGGAGAGAAACCGATGGCGGTATGCCCCAGAAGGGGCTCTCCTACGACCTGACGCGTCTCCAAGTCCCACCCAAGGGCGGTCGACTCCGACGACCCAGACACAACCCGCCTCCCATCGAGTGAGAGTGAGATTCAGCGCACGGCGCCCAGGTGGCTACGGAACGGCTGCCCTGATAGCTCGCGCGTTTCGGCGTCCCATATCCGGATTGTTGAATCTGTCGGCGCCGAGATAATACGGAGTCCGTCCCGAGAGAAGAGGACGGAGTACACCAGCTCAGTGTGGCCCTCGAGAGGGTTTCCGACAATCCCGCCCGTCACGGCATCCCAAACCCGAACAGTGGTGTCATCAGATCCCGACGCGATATATGCGTTGTCCGGAGAAAACGCAACGCAGCGAATGCCGGAGGTGTGACCGCGGATAGCTTCATAAAGCATTCTGCCTGTTTCCGTCGACCAGACACAGATGGATCGGTCTGTGCGGTTACTCGTGCCGGACACGATGCAACGTCCATCTGGAGAGTATGCGATACACCATGTCTCTCCGTCGTGACCTTGTAACGGTTTCCCAACGGCTTCTCCGGTAGCAGCGTGCCATATGCGTACTGTGCCATCCACTAGTCCTGCAGCGACGTTACGGCCGTCCGGAGAGAAGGCGACTGATCGAACAGTCTGACCACGTTGTAGCGCATAGATCGCTTCACCTGTCTCTGCGTCCCACATACGCAATGTAGTATTTGAGGATCCGGACACGATACGCCGACCATCAGGGGAGTACGCCACTGAAGTAACAACGTTGGTGTGACCTAACAGGACAAGTTCAACGAGGGGCCACTTGTCATGAAGATGCTGAACGCGCGGGAGAGACCGGAAAGATGGGAGAAAGTGGTTCCGAACCTTGGATGTTCTCGGAGAGAACGGCAAGGCTGACATATAGATGTGGGGGGCAGCATGTACGAGGACACTGCCGAAGCGCCGGATGAAAGAAACTGCATCAAGCAGTAACTAATGAGAGGTGGTACCTTCGAAGTTCTATGGCGGCCATGAGTGAGGTCAGCTTCTCGAGTCTGTAGTTTATGCTTACTTTATATAGCCTGACCACGGCTTGCAAAGAAGGCGCAGTGTGATTGACGTGTCCAAGAAGGCTGAGCAGTTCGAACCACGCAACAAGCTTCTCATGCGCGAACGTGTCTATCGCTTGTCGCACGGTTTGGTCGAACCCGGTTATCGGGAAGGTGATCTTTCCAGTTGCACGTGGCGTACGACAGACTCCCTGGAACGAATTTGACAAGGCGAGCGTCCAAATCGGGAAGATTACGGTTCGAGACATAGGACGTGTCTCGGCGACAGATGTCGAACGACAGCCCGGTGTTCATGACGCGAAAGCAACCGAGCGCCATAGTGGAATGTCCCGATGATATGTCGACAAACCACTTCTGACTTCTACCCTTGTCGGTCAAGAAGTCGCGGAATGAGGTATAGAGGGGAAGGATGGGCGAAGTGCGAGTAGAAACCCCTGAGAGTAGAGGACCCATGTCTGCCACTATCAGAGTCACCTCGTCCATCTGAACACCAGTTGCGAGGCGACGCATCTCATCCAGGGAATTGATCGACAGCGGGGAAGAGGCGCAAAGGATCTGGGCCATGACAGAGTGGTAACGGATCATGAGCTCTTGGTCTTCAGAAGAGAGGTCGTCGAGGGAATAAGCACTACCTCGCAGTATGTCGCCCAGACGTTTATCGAACCGCTCTTTCAACGTGCGACCTGCCGGCTTCTGAAGGATAGCTTTGCAGGCCGTTGCCGCCCACTGCAATAAGCCTTCCGCTCGGGTCGCTAGTAGTTTGAAGTCTGCGTCGTCTAGCGCGGGCCGTGGACACAGCGCGCGCGACATCGCGCTCGGGACGAGACGTAACGAGGATGCGGAAGTTGGGAGGCAGTTGCGCGGAACCCTCCGTGAGAAGACTCAGCAGTAGAGGGCGGGAGCGCGCATCTGTGGAGCTGCTTTCGTCGAACGCGTCGATGACAACGAGGACTGGCCCAACGAGCGTAACATGCTTGAGTGGCTCGAGGATCAAGCCCTCCCATTGTGCAGCGAAGTCCGTCGATTCTTCCAAGTTCGCGCTGGTCCCGGAGAACGTTCGCGAGCGCACGGCGGAAGTCCGGATTCCAGTTCGCCAGGTCGCGGGCAATAGTGCTTATCACGGATTCTGGATGACGATCCCCTTGGAAATTACGATCGAAGCAGAAGAAGGAGCCGAGACGACGGAGCGCCTTAAAGTATATGCCGGTGGAATGGGCGATAGCGGACTTGCCGGTGCCAGCCCCACCAAACAGGAAGCGCACCGGAGGCGCACCGGAGTCATTGATCCAACTCAAGAGCTCGTCCAGCGTCTTGACGCGCGTACCCTCCAAACAAGCCTTGCTCGAGTTCAGCCCTGCACCTCGAACGTGGACCAAGTTGAATAGATCAATGGTCGCACCTCCGGCCATCAGTTAGGACGCGGCTTCATGGGGATCGGCGGGAGCCTACTTATGTCTGCAACCTGCGCCAGCCTGATTTCCAATTGAAGCACCCCTCGTTCTGTGAAACGGCGCCGAAGGTCCAGGAAAGCCAGTGTGAAGTCGGCCATTTTGCTATCGATCCGTGAGCCTGATAGTACATTACTTCCCGCGCGTAGCCCTAGAGTGACATCAATTAGTAATACAACGCAGCTAGCACTAGTGACTGTACCACGGAAACTGGGCTCCGGGTGGACAACGCGTCTCTGAACCGACAGCCGTGAGCTCAGGAATGAACGAATCTCTGGGCGAGCGGCGGATGATGCTGGCTCCAATCCAACTCAATATGAGATGTGACTAGCCCTAATTCCGGTGACATCGTGTCAATGCGCGTGATAAGTTAGTGACTCTGTGTACTCGGGTTGACGCCTAGTGACCCGTTTCGGGAAGGGACAGACGCCGAAAGTTCAACCAGCTCTAGCGCTAACCTCCCGCCTCTTGAACCCGCCACTGTGGGCTACCAGCACGACTTTGATCTGAGTGGGTGGAAGAGACGTTAGGGTAAGCCCTACGATGACTATTGCAGAATTGCTATAGAATGACTCGACTCATCGAATTAGGTACTTGGAGGGCGCGGCAGCCGCCGGACTACTACCTCCGTGACCACGCCTGAACCTCGGGTTCGACCTCACATTGCCTGATCTGTCGAACAAAGAGATCGACAAGCACAGTGATTCTAATATATATATCGCAGATTGGAATCCGATCTCTGTAAGCAGCCATCTCCTTCATGCCCAACCACCAGCCTAACGAACAGCTCTCCGGCTCCGTTGACCGCAATGTCAACAGCAACCCGCCGGATCCCCCACCTCAGTCTCGTCGTACACCTCCTCCGGCACCTTCTCAGCAACCGTTTGTAGGGGACACGGAGAATACCCCGTCCAAACTAAGCGCCAACGTCACACGTAACTCTGTCGATCAGCCGCAAAACAAGGACCTCCGACCTCTTTATACCGGCTTCGAAAGAATGGCGGACAATCTGTCAGAGATCGAACTGAAGAAGATGTTCGAGGAGTTCATTCCTGGAGAGGATCCCAGTAGTGACTACCTGACGCACTGTGACTACGACTCGCACGTTGCGAAAGTAAAGAAGGAAAGCGACTTGAACCCTAAAATTGTGCGTAAACAATATCAGGAAGCTTGGGGATTGGTGCTCATCCATATTGAAAGTGTGTCATGGCCCACTCTGCCGCGCGGGTATGCCCCACGTTGGTCGTCCGTGACATCTCATGCTGGCAAGTCAGTGGCCAAGATCACAAGTCCAGCCAGAAGGGCACCCGGTCCGACTGCGCTGTCTACCTTGACAACGAGCGTACTCGGAAGATAGTCGACAAGGACCGCGATGACTTCATGAAGACGAGCAAGATGAGCGAGGAGGACAAGAATGCTCGGAAGGACTGGGTAGGGCGACGGGCCTGGGGAGATATGGTTGCGTTTGTAGAGGTCAAGCACAACCACGACGGCTCTGCTTTTGAGTTCAATAACCCGGGCACTCGCTTCACGCGTGACGACACGGACGGTGGCAGGAAAGCCCTCGGCCAATTCGCAGAGTACGTCGCCAACATCCTCGCACACCAGCACCGCACCCACGTCTACGCGCTCTATGTCTACCGCGATAGAGCCCGTATCTGCTTCTTCGATCGCTCTGGCGGCGTTGTATCCACACCCTTCCACTACGGGACGACCGCCGATACCACCTTCCAGCGTTTCTTCTATCGACTCGCAGGCATGTCCCGCGAACAGCTAGGCTTCGATCCCACTGCTGTCCTTGCGGACGAAAGTGTGGTGAGCGCTCTGAGGGCTTGGGCAGCCGCCGTGCCTACGGAGTATCTCCGCAAGCTGGCCTGCGAAGCGCTCTGTTGGGATCCGGCCACGAACTCGCCTTCATCTGTCGAATGGCCGACTCACGAGGTTACGTTCAAGGGCAAGACGCTCTATGTCGGCAAACCTGCGTTTTCGAACCTCGCTCTGTTTGGGCGCTGCACTCGGGGCTACGTCGCCATCGAAAAGGAGAGTGGGGAAGATGGTAGCGTCGCATATTCGTTGCGCTATCTGAAAGACTCTTGGCGGAACATTCAACCGCACGTCCATCCGGAGCATGAGGTATACGAGCGCCTTAGGTCTAGGGGAGTCGTCGAATACATCCCGACGTGTCTAGGTGGGGAAGATGTGGCCGGCGCGTGGCAGCGAACGAGTGCCGGTGCACTTCTGCAGTCGAACCCCCTCCCGCGAGGCCATTATCGCATCCTTCTGAAAGAGGTATGCCGGCCGTTGTCCGACTTCGAAGACTATCAGGATCTAGCTATGGTTATTGGTGACGCACTGTCTGGTACGTTGTTTCTGGTATACTGTGTGTACACATTTCTCATGTGATAACCAGCACACCGTGATGCTTGGGAGAAAGCCGGTGTCCTTCATCGCGACGTGAGCTACAACAACATCCTCATATACGTCACGAAGAACGACGAGGGGAAGGACATCCACGTGGGACTGTTGGTTGACTGGGACTTGTCGAAATACAAGGAGTATATGGTTCCCGGTTTTGGTCCGAGGCAGCCAGATCGCACAGTGTGTCTCCTTCTCTTCCGCAGAATTCAACTTGTGCTCATGTCTGTGAACAGGGAACCTGGTACTTCCGCTCTGCGGTGTCTCAGAGATATCCAAGGAAACCTTACGCAGTGTCTGACGACATTGAATCATTTGTGCACGTCTATCACTACTGTGTTCTTCGCTTTCACAAGACGGAACAAACGAAAACTCTCACGCACACTGTCTGTTCGACGTACGAATACGTGGAGAGACGCGCCGAGGATGGCGCATATGTCGGCGGATTCATCAAGTTTCGACAGATGTGTAGCCCCACCCCCGCGATCGCTCCTGACAACAACAAGACACTACTGGCTCTGCTCCAAGACCTGGCAGACATTTGCGCCGCTCACTACGCTACCATTGACGCCCAGGAATTCGATCGGCTGTACACTCCTGTGCCTGAAACCCCCGCTACCACGGCACCTCAGCAAGAAGCTGCTACAGCCGCACAACCCCCCCGTATAACCCTTGCTAGAGCGCATGCGCAGAAGAAGAGTGTCGAGTCACGTCAACGCAGGCCTCTCCAGGTCACTCCTTCTCCCATGCTTCAGGATCATTCGGAGCTTTTGAACGTCCTTCGGGAATGGGGTACCGAGATTGACTGGCCAGCTAACGACCTTGTCAGGAGCCCGGAGGACCTCTTCAAACAGGTCGGCCTGGCCCCTAGCAAGGACAACGCCTTTGGATCGTCACATAACGAGTCATCGCGTCCGGCCAAGCGTCTCAAGCTCGACACCGGCACGCCGCTGACTAGCGTGCACGAAAATGTCGAGCGTCTAGATGAATCATAGCTGCGTGTTTAGGGAAGCATCCCGCCGTACGATAGGATGTATAGTATCTATCAGCTTTACTTCAAGTACAGAATGCAAACTAGTGTTCCATATCATTGCATCGCTTAGTGAACCGTACACTTGGTGAAAGTTCTGCCGCAAAACATCAGGGAAACGCGCACAGCTCAAGACCTACCTGTTACCGTAATTCCAGGGCCGCCACCGCAGAACTCTAAGATCTCATTTAAGGTCTCGTATTGCTCAGGGTACATAGGCTGCGTACAATGTTCCAGGCATCATTGATATCGTGATCCGGAAGAGATAGTTGAAAGGAAGCCAAATAAAAATTTGGAGCGCAACTGAATGCTGGGCGCCGCCAGAGGTACAGCGCAATCTAGCAGGCGGCGGCGCATTTATTAGCTTTAAGACGTTCAGAACTTGCAGCCTTTACTGATGGAGGCTTGCTTGATACACACGGGTTACATACCACGTCCCTCAGCTCGGCCGGTGACTATCCCACGAGCTAGACTCGGAAGACCCCAGCCTGTGCCACGTTACGCTGTCCGAGTCGAGCCCTACTTCGCTTGAATCCTACATCTATTCTGACGGAGGCGGGACATATATGCCGTCGGAACCATCCCTGCGAGGCCTCAATCGCATGCGCTGCCATCGATACCGAGGAATACGACCAGCCGTACCCCTTCCCTGCGCTGCAGGAAGCGGCAGCGGCAGCGGCGGCCCCGCCTACTCGGAGATCCCGTCTGAAGCAGGCCGAGCGGAATCGGGGCGTCCCTGCATCGTGGTTCACAGGCCTCACAACCCCTTGCCCCACGCTTCAGGATCATACACCTTCGACATCTTCTGTAGCTGGGGTGACCGGAGCTGGCCAACTGGCAATCTCGCCAAGAGCTCAGTGGATCTTCTCAAGGTCGGGCAAGCTTGTAGCAAGAATAGCGCCTTTATTGATGCAGACGGCGAGTCGTCTCAATCATCCTAACCAACAGATTGCGTTCGTGCCATCATGCGGGTCAACATCGGCACTCGCACCGAGGATCCTTGTGTAGTCTCATGAAGAGTAGCTGCGTCTTCATCAGGATATTCATCGTTGGCTACCGGCCCATGACGGAACCGTGAGCAGAAGTGGTTCATTAGGCCGATGTACCGCTCTAAATGACATTCTGAACAATGGCGGTAATCTAAATAGCCTTGTTCTGGACGAGCTCTGTGCAGATAGACATATATGATTCATCAGCATTAAGGCCAAATCACGAGATGACAGACCAAAACAACGAGACGTCGTGGGGGTTAGGCATTCAAGGAGGGAGATGGAAAACCCCAATGAAATGAGACACGTACGCTCGATCTCAGCAACAACGGAGGCGAGATGTCCATTTGCGTCTTCTCGTTGCTGAGGCTCTTGAGGACGGAGTCGACGACAGATTTGACCAGCTCGGCTTGCTCGCTCTCCTTGGCCTGCTGCTTGAAGCGGACCCACGAATCGAGAACAGCCTTAACCTCCGCGGCGAGCGCGACCTTCTGGCACTGGACGAACGCCTCAGACTCGAGCTGCGCAGTCTCCTGTCCGGGAGTAAGATGTCATTTCAGCATACATTAACGCGCGATTCAGGTGTTATGGGGAGCGTGGAGGATCAGGTGAAGGGTATGGAAAGAGATATGGAAGGACGGACAGGAGCAACGGAGGCGGCATGTAGGGTGGGAGGGTTCACGAGGAGAGACGATTTACCTTGGAGAGCGCAAAGAGACCCTCGGTGACGGAGACAACGTCCTTCATCTGCTCAACAGACTGGATACGGTCCTTGACCACCTGGGTGTGCTCAGCGCACGACGTGTAGAGGATGTCGCGGATGCGCTTGATGTGGCCCTTCAGCCCAATCCTTGTAGGGCTTCTTCACCGCCTGTCGAGGAGAAGGTATCAGCAAGTGTTGTCAACCGATCAATCGTTACCAGTATATGCGAGAAGATGCAGAGATCTCTGTGTGTCCAAAAAGGGCGGCTGCACAAACCGAACCAGCATTCCGCAACCCCATTACGCGATGCCTGTCACGACATAAACGGCAATCCGTTTCTAGGAGCGCGTCCGTATGGAGCAGCCTTGTAGTACGGGGAGGGCGAAGCGGGACCCGACCTGATGTAAGACGCACCTTGTAGATGAACGAGATGAGGATAAAAAATCCAGCAGCAAAAACAGTCTCCTCGTTCACGACCTAGAGCTCCTGGGAGATGGCGGCCACCCGTGCCAATGACAACGGAGCCGGTTTTCGTGATGAGGAAGGGTGTTGATGATTTCCGCGGCGCGCTCTTCCGGTGGGGGTTTGGACGAGCTGGCTATACCCCGACTACAGACGCATCCAGACAATACCAATATGAGAATCTCCTATGAGACAATCCTTGAATGAAAAAGTGACAGTCGTAACTCACGCAGCGAGGACCCGGGGGACAGCGGAGACGGCCTAATGCCTAACTCGGCAGGCTGCAACATCTCACGTAAGACAAAGACACGTTAAGGTTGTACAGATGGTGTGTACCTGACGCCCGGAGGGAAGAGACGACAATCATAGAGGCCATGGACGATGAAGGTGAGGTGCTGGCGGACGACCGATACGGTGAGCGCAACTCTTCTTGCGCGCCTATACCTGTGGGAATCCGTATTCCGATTTCCATGACAGGGCTTTCCACTCCCGACTTCTCCTCCCGCGACGTCCATTATGATCCTCATATATCTCTGTGCACGCAGCTCATTGCGTTTGGGCATTTGGTTTTCGTTACACTGCCTATTCACTTTCCGTATTGGACTGCACATCTGGGACTTGGCGGTACATGCGGTCTCCTACTATTGTTCGCAGTTATAGCGTCCGTCTGTCTTCTTGCCTCCATGAGGAGCAGTCCATGCCTATATAACGGAGAGCAGCTTCCTCATCATAGGTCAGTCAGCTCAACCTCCTCATCGTTGTATGGCTTACTATCTTCAGCAGCCATAGACGCTTTCTTCGCCATCGCTACTCCCATCGTCACCGAGAGCTCCTCTCCCTCACCTGCCGACATTCATCAACCACGATCAATCCTTTGGGGTGATCGGTACCACTGCTGGCGTCCACTCTGGCTGCATTGTGGCCTAAGGTATTCGGCTACACTGCACCAAGCTTCTGAAGCGCATTATAATATCCTTGGCTCGCTGCGACATCGCATTGGTTCACATGCTCCTATACGCATGATAGACCATCAGTACATTGACATCAGACTTCGACTTACAACTTCGACTTTCGACTACGCACCCGCCGCGGAGGTGCTTGCTCAAATTCTGGCGGAGAGACACGCATGCCCGTCATAGGCAACGAAGGCTGCCGCCCAGGCTGTTTCTGTTCGCACTGCGGGCATGTGTGGTGTGGGGCGTGACGCGGGTGACTGGACGCGTCTTGCTGTTTGCTCTGGCGGTCGAAGAGCTTTTGCCGATGCAGCCCGCGGTCCGTATCCGGGGTCTTTGGCGGGTTCAGTGGCTTCTCCCATAGCCCACGTCCTGTCGCGGATTCGCTCATCGTTATTCGATCGCAGGTTCACTGGCAAAGCGGGCGCAGAGGCGCACTGGACTCCGCTACACGAGCACCGTGCACGGTACCGATCCCGATATTCGTCCCACCCCCTCCTCCCCAGCAATATTGACAGTCTTACCCCGGCGTGCACAGCTTCTAGAGAAGAAAAAAAACGAACCTGAGCATGAAGGCACTTCCCCCTCCCATTCCTAGCTTTCCTTGCGCACCTCTACTGACGCTGTTTCGCGGGTCCGCATAGATTGACAGGCGTACGAGCTACAGAGACAGACGGTAGCGTACACAAAGAGCCGGAGACCTAGGATGCTGTGCCGAACGTGTCCAAGACGACGCAGAAACGGCGCGGGTTCGACAGGCTCCATATTTGTTCAAGAACGTGCACGGGATGTTTGTTGAGACCGTCGAGCATGAGAACAAGGTCATGAGGTCGTCTGAGCTGTCGCCGACGTTGGCGTTGCTGCTGCCCCTGCGGTGAATAGTCCCTATCGATGCGCCGCTAGCCAAGTGTTTGCCCATGTATTTTATAGGCTCGTTACGCAACTCACATTTGTCTGGAATGGACGTGAGCCTAGACGTTGGGAGGGAGTTGTATTTGGTAGACGCACCTGAAAGACCTTGCAGGGTGCGGTTGAAGAGTCGCGAGAACAGGAGGCCCACGGCGGAAGGCGTGATTGTGGGCCGAATCTATGAAAGCACGAAGAGTTGCCCTTCGACTCAGTACTCATCTCATTTCGTACCACCTGTCGCTTTTGCGGTCTAGGAGCGTCGGTAGGCAAGGGTCATACGAAGAAGACACGGAAACCGGGGTGAGATGTCGTCAGGAAGAGAACAGATCCGACGCCCGCGGGTGCGACGGCCCGAAAGAGGAAGTGCGCGTTGTGACGCGCTCGCTGGCCCGAAGGGGTAGGTGGCGCGTCACGAGAGGGAAAGAGAGAGGTTCGCTCGAGGAACAGACAGGTTATGAGTGTCTCGATTGAACGCTAGTGTTTGTACATACAGAGTTTGGGTTTATATACGAGTTACGGGCGCTATAACAGCTCTAAGGTTCGGGAAGACTCGGGCTAGATACGAGTGAGATAAGAGAAGCAGAGAGATCGAGGAGAGACAATCCCGAAGCACGGAGTCGATCAGGTACGAAGGGAGAGAAGAAAAGTAGCGCGCGACGCGGGCGCTACACGTTGTGTCCTGCGCGCATGGGGCCGTCCGTTGTCGCTAGTAGCGCTGGCTACCCTTCTCGCCCATAACTCAACCGGTGACTGCGTACCCGACCGAGCGATCAGCATGACAAGTAGGATAGCCTTTTCACTCCAGATATTCGGACTGACCACCACTGGAGATTCTTCTCAATTAATTCGAAGCCCATGCAGATACTCACGAGAATGCTCTGGTCCCACCGTAGCTTACTCCGCCACCGATCGCAATCCATATGCACCTCCCTACCCGTCCTGCCACAGCATTTCTCATCTCTCGGCCAGAGGGATAGTGCATGCATCGCGCCTCGCGGCATACGAAGCCAAGCCCCAGCCTTACTTTTACCCGTATTCCCGCTCGAGCGCACGCCCACGAGAAGGTCATGGACACTCGCCCCCGCCGTCACACCATGAGAGCGTCCTGAACAGCTTTTGCGACCTTTTCGACTGACTGGCTCTTGCCGCTGGTGCGCATTGTCGACGACCTTGCGGACGGCCCCTTCGAGTCTTTGCACATGGGGCGAAGTCACCGTTATGGCTCGTGTTCGTCACGGGAACAAGACCGAGGCCGTGATCACGAACGAAACCTTCGACCGCGACCGGGCACGAGACCGCAGCCGTGAATGAGATTGTGAGCGGGAAAGGCAGAGGGAAAATGAGAAGGAGAGGAAAGGGGACATGGTTGGGATGGGGAGAGGACAAGAGACAGGACGAGGGAAAAGAAGGGTCGCATGTCGTCTGAGCGCAAGCAGCTCCAGCAGCGCGTTCAGGCCCTCGAACACGAGCACGAGGATTTCCTGGATCAGTTGCGCTCGACGCGGGAAGAGCTTTCGAAGCTGTCTGCTGCCGTCCTCCCCCTCCCAACTGTCTTACACCCCAGTTGCTATCGGCATCCTACCCCGCCTCACCTCCCGACGCACTTGGGCTTGTCCATCCTATTCCGCCGGCGCAAGTACCAGCTCGCTCCTCCTACCTCTCTATCGCGAGCGTGACTTCCCGGCCTATCGGGGATCATTTCAAAGCCTGACGCGGCGTTTGATTTGGAATGCTTGCCCCTCTCGGTCGTCGTGATTGGTGGGCGAATCTGGTAAGTGCGCTTCGAGTCAGCTATATGCGAAATATTTATGCCCTGTGCCAGCGCTGGAGGTTGGGAGTCGTGAATATGACTACTCTGCCGTGTCTCTAATTATGTTTGTCCTTGGTCTGCTATGTCGACCGAGACGGAGGCTGATGTGTACGCCACAGCTCGGCGACCACAGGGTGCTGCGACAACAACGTCAAGGGACTCCTCCCCATATGCTTGTAGCATTCCCGGGCCCCTCGTGCAGCACGCTGAATATGCAGGTTCCTTCTGCGCAAAAGGCCAGCAGTCGTTGAACCGAGTAACAGAAAGTACTGCCTGGCCCGTCTGCGTCTCTCGATCGGAACTCTCATAGACGCTTCCTGCTTCCTTCAGCGCAGGAGATCGGAGAATGGCCAGAAGCAGCGCTTGTCTGTCCGTTGTGATTTCGATATTCCCTGCGCTCGTTATTCACAGGTTCCGGAGCCCTTGACTCTTGTGGCGTACGTACGCAGACACGTCGTACCTACTGGTCGTGTTTGACATATTCTCTACAGAGTTGTACGCTATGCCGCATCACTACTGCAAGTCCTGCGCTAGTTGCTACCACTCTGCCGTAATTGCGTTGTGCCCGCTACCTAGCAAGGACCGCGGCAAGCGAATGAGACCGTGAGCGGGACAGGCTGAGGGAGAAGGAGAAGGAGAGGAAGACCGCGAGTCGTCCGGGCGGGACAGGGAATGCGAACAGCTCCCCCAGCGCATACAGGCCTTGACGTAAGCAGGAGAACGAGAGCCTGCTCGAGCCCCTACGCTCGAGGTGTGAAGAGCCCGTGAAGCAGTCCACCGCACTCTTCCCTTCACCCAATTCCCTCACCACCCAATCGCTATCCTACCCTTCCTCACCTCACAACACACTGAGGCTCGTCCACCCATCGGTCGCACCCTCGCCTATCCCCTCCACTTCGCCTACATCCTCGACGTACCCTTCCGTTTTGCGACATTCCGCCGACGCTGTTCTCGTAGACCTGGAGCTGCTGCAACGACTCCATGCTTCTTTGCGCGCAACTTTACTTACACGCACGCCACTTAGTCCTCCCTCAAGCGGAAGACCTCGCCTCGTTCTTCCTTTCCAAGACTGATGATTAGTCGGGTGCGCCACTGCTCCAGTCGCTCTCGGACCTCGACTAGGACTAGGAAACCGTACAACATGTGGTCGCCGTTGCGAAGGAGTGCGATAGGGTGATCGTAGGGCTGCGCTGGGGAACATCGAGCTTCTAGGGGGGAGGGGTCACGCGCGCGCAGGACCGAACGCTGGTCCTGTACGCGCTACAGGCGTGGGTCGTGTAGGGCGTGACGCGGGTGACCGGACGCGTTTTGCTCATTCAATGGCATCTCCCGTAGCCCGCATCCTGTCGCACAGACTCGCCCATCGTCAATCGGCTGCAGGTCCAAGGGAGAGGTCGGACGCGAATGCAATGCTATCTGCCCTCTCCTCGCCTCGCATTCCACGCATACACTCGCTCCCATTCACTCTTTTATGCGCATCCGCGCGTACAGGCCGTCCGTCAGTCCCACTGCATCCCTTGGCACATGCACATGCACCGTCGCCCGCAGCGCTGCCTGCCGCACTTCGCTCGCTCCGCTACATGAGCGCCATGCACAACAACGACCCCCAAACTCGTCTTCTTCGCTTCTTTCCTCGACTTCCGTGGGCTTACTCGCACTTAGCAGGCTTCGAAAGAAGTTGCAGACGTGGGGTCCGAGCAGACAACAACTCTGCCAGACGCCCCGGGCTAGAATGGGCATCCCGCCAGAGTATCCGAGGTCTCAGGCTCGTAAAGGTACGTCATCCTTCGCATCCTCCTCTCCTCGCGCACCTCCATTGAGCTCGCGACACAGTCATGCCTAGGTCGACCGGCACTCGAATGACCCGCGCCAGCTTCATCCTGTCACCTAATCAAAGAGTAGGCACAACGACAAGCGCAATGCTCCGACGCACAAGGAGCGCGTGTTGGACAAGCGAAAATGTCTCGACACAGAAGATCAAACAACAATGGGGCGACAGAGGGTCCGTATCCGAGAAGGCGCACAAGATTCTCACTGGGAGCAGGCTGTTTATAACGAGATCGCGTCGTGTGCGAAGTCGTTTGTACTTACGCGCGGTGTCTGCCATGGGATGGCTACCGTCGTGACCGCCTGCCCAAGGAACACTGTTCTAACAGGCTTGCTGTATGAGTCGCTTTCACGTATCTGCTAGCGGAACCCTTTTCAATATCAAAGGAAAAAGCGAACATCATGTCATGACTGCTGGTTGAGTAGGGACGCCAATGTTGTTGGTATGCAACGACCTTGCATGGGTGCCGCCCGGCGTCGTTACTTAACTTGAAACCGTGTCGCCCTTCCACGTTGCTTCATCGTGCCACGTATGACTACTATCCAGCTGAGTACATGACGAGACACATCGCAACAAAGACATGGCATAGCTTCAGACTCGAGGAAAAGACGACAGGCAAACATGCACTTGTCCTGGTGAGTGACTGAGCCAGTAGAACTAAGTAGAAAGCCGAGCCTTGTAACATCTCGCCCACTCGGTTCCAGAGAAAGCATCCGAGAAATCTATGGTGAGTGACTCGCGCCCCATGACCTTGACCATCCCTCGCCACAGTAGAGAATCACGATACTCGTCTGGCACCCACATCACATGGTTACCGTATTTGTCCGTGATCCAACCATTCCACTTCTTGTGCTCTGGAGGAGCTGTGAACGCAGGCGGGTCTTCGGCTGCGCTTGCTGTCACAGCCTTGAAGTTGATGAAGGAGGGATGAGCTCCAGGAGGGTCTTGAAATGTATGTTTATGGTTATCTCAGATGTAAGAAGGAGATGCCACTTGCCTGTGAAAGCGTCTACATTCCAAACAACGATTCGGGTGGACCAGTACGAACCTGATATGATACGGCGACCATCCGGGGAGAGCGCAAGATAATCAACGCTTCCCAACCAATTGGACAGGCTTTCCCCAATGGGCTCTCGTGTCTGTGCATCCCACATCCGGATCGTCCCGTCCTCGCCCCCGGACACAATCCATCGGCAGTCCGGGGAATACATCACATTGTACACAGGGCCCGTGTGGCCGCGTAAAGGCTCGCCTTCCTGTTCCCATTTCTCTGTATCCCAGGATCTGATTGTGCCGTCGTCGCTGGATGACAGTACATACCGGCCGTCCATGGACCACGAAACAGACCTGACCCAGTCTTTGTGGCCCCTGAATGGCTCGCCAACAGCGCACCCCGTCTCAGCATCCCACACCCGCACTGTCCCATCCTCCGAGCCGGATGCGATGCGATTGCCATCCGGTGACCACGCGACGAACGCGACCCCACCACCTGCAAACCCGTCCAAAGGCCCGACGAGACAGTCGTGTGTCTCGGCATCCCAAATGCGAATGGTGCGGTCGTCTGAAATTGAGACAATCCTACGGCCATCTGGGGAGTAATCAACGTCCCGTACCCAGTGCGTATGGCCACGTAGAGGCTCTCCGATGGGTTGGAGCGTAGTCGAGTCCCATACACGAAGGGTCTCATCCCCCGAGGCGGAAACAAAGCGACCGCCATCCGGAGAGACCCTGACGCGAGTTATGCGGCGGGAATGGCCCTTCAGATGCCTGCCGATGGATTTTCCAGTGTCCGCATCCCACACGTTGATCGTGCCATCTTCAGAGCCCGATAAAATTCGGCGTCCGTCAGGCGAGTACGCGAGCGAGCGCACAGAGCTCGTGGGGGCGGAATCTGATGAACCGGAGGAGACATCGCCAGGAATTTCTACACTTGGGCTCTTCTCTGTAGACCATATCCGTATTGTCCTATCGGACGAGCCGGATACGACATGGCGACCGTCAGGTGAAAAACTAACAGCGCATACCCAGTTGCTGTGCACAACAAATGGCCCCGCGACAATCTCGTATGTCTCTATATCCCATATGAGGACGCTGCCATTGCCCGATCCAGAGACGATGCGCCTGCCGTCGGGAGCGATCGAGAGAGACAACACACCACCCAAAAGCTGGTGAGATATTGTATGCAACGTCTGTTGGCTCTCGAAGTCCCAGATCCGGATTGTCGAGTCCTCCGATCCCGAGACAATCCGAAGGCAATCTAGCGAGAAAAGGACAGAAGTGATCCGTGCCGTATGGCCTTCGAAGGGCTTGCTGACAGGGTGTCCTTCTACGACGTCCCACACCCGTACCGTCTTATCGTCAGCACCCGACGCGATGTATTGACCAGTCTGAGAGAAGGCAACGCAGCGAACGTCGGATGCATGGCCAAGGATAGGCTCATAAACCATCCCGAGTGCTTCGGTGGACCAGATGAAAATACGACCATCCCCATCACCCGATGCAATGAGACGTCCATCTGGAGAGTACGCAACACACCACACTACACCCTCGTGACCCCGGAGAGGTTCGCAAACAGCCTCCCCTGTCGTGGAATCCCATATCCGCACCGTCCGATCACTGAGCGCTGCGGCAATGTGACGGCCATCCGGCGAGAAAGCAACCCCCAAAACAATGGAGCCGCAATACAGCTCCAGGATTGCTTCGCCCGTCTCCGCATCCCATACTCGCACTGTCGTGTCATCCGAGCCTGACACAATGTGCCGGCCGTCAGGGGAGTATGCCACGGAACGGACCCAGTCTGTGTGCCTTGAGAGGACGGCAGGAGTCTGCGGCCAACGGTCACGAATGCCATCGACAAGCGGAAGACAGGGGAAATACGGGAGATAGTTGTTCCGGACCCTGGACGACGTCGGAGAGAAAGGCAGAGCTGAGATGTAGACGTGAGGGGCGGCCTGGGATATCACACCGGCAAAGCGGCGAATGAAGGAAATTGCATCGAGTAAAAGCTCCTTTGAGGAATCACTTCCCGATTCCTATGACAGTCGTGAATCAGAATCAGATACAAATGAGTCAATCCCAACGATTAGACTCACACCATATCCATTGAGCGCTGCTTCCAACGAAGGGGCGGCGCGATTGACGCATTTCAGGAGGCTGAGTAATTCAAACCAAAACAGAAGCTTCTCTCCCAAGAACCTGGTTAGTTCCTGTTGCAGATCTGATGGATGAATGCTAGCGAGGTGGTCCTTCCAGTTGCATGACGCGTAAGACAGGCTTTGGGGGACAAAGACAGTTAGGCGGAATCCCAGTGTAGAAGTTCGTGGGGAAAGAAGATGATGCTACAACGGAGCCGCGGGAGTCTATATATACATGTACTACATAAAGACTATCGTAATGTAGATCCGAGACAGAAGGCGTAGTGGCGTTGGTGCCACCGTCAAGCGTTCGCAAAGCGTGCCCAAAGCAGTAAGGCAAGCGCGTGACCATACTCCAACACTCCCCCTCAACTCTGCATCGGCAAGATGCCGAGTTGTGTGCGCAAAGCCTGAAAACGATCGCGTGCAAGGGCCTTCGTGAACAAGTCGGCCGAATTGATGTCCGTCGGGCAATATTCCAGTCGAATCGTGTCGGCGGCGATGCATTCCCGAATGAAATGATGCCGGATATCGATGTGTTTTGACCTTGAATGCTGGACATTGTCCTTCGACAGCTCGATCGCTGATTTGTTGTCAGCCTTGAGAGTAGTGGCGTCCCGCTGTTCACAGGTCAGTTCCGCGAGCATGGCGCGCATCCAAATCGTGTGCCGCGCAGCGTACGCGACTGCCATATACTCAGCCTCCATCGAAGAGAGCGCAACGGTGGTCTGCTTCTTCGAGCTCCAGGCGACGACCGCATTCCCGACGAGAAACGCGTAACCAGAGATCGAGCGGCGGTCGTCCGGGTTGGATCCCCAGTCGGCGTCCGAGTATCCTTCGAGGCGAAGGTTCTCGTAGTATGCGCG